TTGTTTTGTTTTTGTTTTGCCAAAGCAATCAACATGCATAACATGGCCCATTTTTAAGGCAACAAGTGGATGTAATCCTAGGGGTGCAAGTGTGCATTGTGTATTGATTTTCATGCATTTTTGTCTTTGTATTAGTCAAACTACTTGTTGATTTTGGATTTTTGCATACAAACCCTAATCTCTAATCATGGCATAATTAAAAGCGTAAATGCGTAAAATAAATCTACCACAATTACAACATGATTATGGGGATGGGGATACAATTTTTGAATGGGAATTATTTGACAAGAAATTAAAACCCTAATTTTACTATTACATCCAAGTTGAATCAAATGGTACAAAGTAAATAAATAAATAATACTTAAATATATAAATTAAATAAGTATACAAAATATTATGAATATGCAAAAAAAAGGTTTTGTTTATTTTTATGTATGCAAAAATATTTAATATAAAAAGAAAGTAATAATAAAAAGATTATTATTATTTTTTATTAAGGGTAAACCCTAATTTTTCTTTTAAGAATACAAATATTATTAAATATACTATTTATATACAATAAAATAAAATAATGTATATACAAAAATAAAATATACTTAGAAAAAGTATTATTTAAGTATAAATAATAATAAAAATAAAAGTATAATATTTTTATGTTTTTATTCTAAAGTATCTATTAAATAAAATAAAAGTATGTATATATATATATTAATTGTATTAATTATGTAATAAAATAAAAATAAAATATATACAAAAATAAAAATATATTTAGAACAATATTTTTTAGTGTGAATAAAATAAAGAATAACATAAAAGTCTAATTTATATATTTATTATTTTCTAACTTTCAATAAATAAAGTATATTCTAATTAAATTGTTTTTATGCTAAAAAATAAAAATAAAATACAAAATAAATGTAAAAATTTATAAATAAATATTTTTGGATATTTTTGTATTTAGAAAATATAAAATAGAAATCAGAAAATGAAAATAAATAAAAAAATATCAAAGTATAAAGAAATTGGGCCAGGGGGTGCATTCAGCAAAAGAAGGGTGCAAAAAAACAAAAGAAGCAAAGCCCAGCCCAAGCCAGACTTCATCTTCAACCTCTGGCTTCAAATTTCGCGCGCGCCCTGTACAAATGCTAGATCCTGCATACGTGCTCTATTACAAAAACACATAACATCAAAGTTGTAGAGCTTTCCAAGACGAATTCAACCATATAAAAAATTTGTTCTAACTCTCAAAGACCAGAGAGAATTTCTCTGGCCCTAAAATCTAACCTAGTTTTTTCAGGAAATTCATGGATCAAATTCTCTTAGCATGCTTAACTAAAATGAAAATTGAGCATATGTACAACTTCATGGCTATGAATACTACATTTCTTATTCACAAACCTAAGTCTAAATGTTCCTAAATAGAGAGATAGAAAGTTGATAAAAACCTGTTTTAGCTGACTTCGTGTATGGCAATATGGAGCTTTTCAACAAGGCCTGAGATGTCTGGGAGCTTGCTTGAACTTTACTTGACCTTCTCCAATGTCTAGCTTGCCTTGAATGTACTTGAACAAGCCTACAGAACTCAACCTGCACAAGCTCAAATTGAAAATGGAAAACCCTGTAAATGGAGTTACAATTAGTGTTTAAGGGTTGGGATAGTTTGGATGGGTTATGTGGAAGATGTTTGAACCAATTTGGGGCAAAACGCACAAGAAAAATGTGAGATAGAACTCAAGTTGCAGATGCTGCCTTATTTTGCCAATGAGATGTGATTTTGTGCTATGGGAAGTTTGAAGGCTCAAAGGGTCGTGTTTTTGGCTCAAAGGGGTGTGAGAAATATGTTTCAAATGCTTGCACAAGTTGGTTTTTGATGAGTTTCAAGTTCTAGTGTTTTGGACATGTTTCTTGTATTTTAAGACAAAATGCACAATGATGTAATATAAGCCTGTACAGGCTATCTATCAGCCTGCCTCTTCTGATATTGGCCCCTCAAGTTGGTTGATATGCTTTACTGCACAAGATTTGGCTCTATGCTCAAGGATTGTGGTTTTGACATAAAGCAAACTATGGCAAAAATGGTAATGTACCTTTTACCATTTAGGGATTAATCTTGTATACAATGCCCTAATGACCAAAAAAATGCCTTAGACCAATGGATTTGCATTTAATTATTGAGTGTGGAATGGTTTTGAGGCCTGTAATCTAGTGCAAAGCAAGCTGATTTGAATTGGCAACTTGTATCAATATGAACATGTCATGGATGAAAAGTGAGTTTTTGCCAACTTCAAGCATTCGATTCTCCCTAACCACAAATGTTTTTGGAGAGTTCTTGGACATTTTAGAAAGCTTGCAACATTCTCTACAATCCATCTTTTAAATTCAATTTGATATTCCAAGTGAAACTATGTGAAAAATGGCCATGAAGATAGGTCAAAATCCTGCCTAAACTAGGGCAAAATTTCACTAAGTTAAAAGTTTTAGGGACCCTTGTTCCAAAAATCATAACTTGAGATCCAAGCTTCTTTTGGGAAAACTTTGTGAGTAAAAGTTGTATAATTTGTGGAGGACTACAACTTTCATGTTGGAAGTTTTGTTTGAATCAAATTGCATCATGGTGAAAATATTGGGCAAAGTTAGGAAAAATTAAGAAAATTTCATAACTTAGAAAAATTCTAAGTTATGAAAATTTTCAACTTTAAACCCTAATTTGCAAAAATGGGTTTCTTGATGAACAAGTTTCACATTTTGACACATCTTGATGAAAAATGACCCTTGGCACTTGATTTTGACCAAAAAGTCAAAGTTTGACTTTTTAGTGTACAGTCAAAATTTGATCAGTTGACTGAAAAATTCATCTGTCAATCCAATGCAATTGAGGTCTTTTGAACCTTGTGAAAAGGTCAAGATGATGCCATTGAGTCCTTGAATCCATGCCTGAATCCAATTTGCCATTGGCTAGGTCAAAAATCAGATATTGCCATTGTGTAGTCAAAACCTTAAAAATGACCATTTTGCCCTTTTGGTGATCTGATCAAATTTCTTGTGGAATTATGGTCCAAACTTGATCAAATGGTTCATATAAGTCCATAATGTTGATATGGGTCAAAATTTATGAGGTTTGACTGTAAATTGGCTACAGTTGACTTTTTCCCCAATACAATTGATTTCTAGGTCAACTGTCCAATTGACTGGGTAAAAATTTGATTCAAGGCTTGAAACTTGGTTTGGACAAACTTATAAGTCCAACATTAAGCATGAAAGTAATTTTGAGCATTGTAAGTCAAAAAATCCATGTGCAAACTCAAACCCTAATTTAGGTCCACAATGCAAAGAGATGTCTTGAGCAGTGCAAACCCTAACTTGGTCTTGAGTTCAAGGAGCCTTGTGATGAGAAATGTTGGTAGAATGAGAGGGAAAATTTTGGGGTACAACAGAACCCATTTGTGTTTTAGTGTTTGTGTGAAAATTTTTTATCTTCTAAGTAGAAAGGAGAAAGAAAGAAGAAATGTTTTTGGATTTTTTATTATTGTGCTCGTTGTGGTTTCAAAACCTTGTGCCTACGTATCTCCATGGTAAAATAGGGAAATCAGAGCTTCATAGTTCGGGTAGAAAATGTTTGTTTGTTGATTCTTTTTAGTAAGAGATACTCGATCACATTCGAACAGAAACATTACTACCCAAAGCATGGATAATGGAACGATTGCATCACTTCAAGAATGAATGACTGAGTCTGAATTATGCACGGAATCTTGCCATCATCACATTTGAGTGGAAAAGGCTCAACAGTCACATGTGTAAGGAACATTGTTTCATTGTCACGAAACTGACGGAATATAACTCATTTTAAAAAGGTTTTAAATTGAAATTCCAAATGCCAAAAATGTTTGAAGTGAGTTTATAGGACACGAGCGCTTGGATATGTCCAAGGAATTTCTTGGCCAACCGCGCATTTAGGAAAAGAAAAGGTAGGTACCTTAACTATCCCATTTAGTCCTCTTTATGAAAAAAAATGAGAAATTGAGTCCAAGCAAAGTTACTTGTCCTTGATTAAGTTGGAAAGGTGTAAGAGAAATTTCTTATCCCTTCCATTTAGATGTTTTAATCGGGTCATGATTAACCAATACAAGCCACGTGACTTGTCCTCAATTAATCTTGAGTGAATAGGCATGTGTCTGCTTTCTACTACGCAACCCTTGTTTATTTGAGAAAAGATTTGAAAAGAAGACTCGACGTTGGATCGAGATTTCAAAGTTTATTGTGAAAGTGTTTTAGATGCTTGGTGAATAGATTGAGAGAAGGAATGAATCGAGTTATGGTCAAATCAAGCCTTGTGACTTAATTGATCTCGAGAGAATAGTCAAGCCTACTCTATACTAGGAAACCCTAATTGAATGAGAACTTGGTATGTAGACCAAAGCGCGAGAATGGAGATGAAGCAAATAATTCCGAACATTTATGGAGGTAGCATATAAATCGATAAAAACTCATACAATGTGGTCACACAAGCATAAATTATAAAGCACATGTCATAGTTTCTAAGTGTAAGCTAACAAAGTGAGCTAACCTCTTAACAACCAATTGGAACAATTGATCGAATATGAGCATACTATAGAAAGGCCCAGAAATCAACATGGATGTGTGCTTGTATGGTCATTACGATGCTTACAGGCTTTGTCGACTTACAAGACAAAAATGATTCATAATGAATTATTAGTTTGAAAAGTGCTTTTTGGTTGTGCACATGCAATGGATGATGGAATAGTTAAATAAATGCAAACTAAATTATTACAAACTTTAGAGGAGAAGGATACATCTTTTATGAATAGGGAAAATAAAAGAAAAAGAGATAAATTATTTACATCACAACAGGAGAGTGGGATACAATTTATGGAATTAGAAACAAAGTAACACGATATAAACAATAAAATTAGTTTAAAAATAACACAATTAAGCATGATGTACGCTCTTTGTTTTCGAAAACGATTCCAATGATCAAAAGACTAAACCAACTTAGATCCAACACAAGTGGGAACGTGATGATGTTCTGACACCTTCTTGTTCAAATTCAACGCAACAAGAAAAAGCAACCATGCTACCCCGATAGTTTCTCGCTTAGATTTACACACGAGTAAACAGGGCATCAACATCACCTTCATCGAAACTACACATTCACTACAATTTTAATCGAAATTAAAACAAAAACACACTAACATTATCATCCTATTCCGACACAATTACGCAAAATTACATGGACTCGACAAAATTTAACATGGATTCGACATAAACCATGAACTCGAAACTCAAACAGAATTAACATATTCAAGGCTGACAAAACGTTTTCTCAGATTAAACTCAAGCAGCATATCGTTTCGAATTAAAAAGACAATGCGATTGAATCAACATTTTCACAAATTTACACAGTATTTACATACAAATTTACACAGTATTTACACAGAAATTATAAAAAGTAAAATAATCATTTTACTCAATGAAACTCAACTGAAAGGAAATCGAAGATTACCTCAAAGTCGATATTAACGGAATAGAGATGCTAAAGTTGCTGCGACGGAAGTTGAACAGAGGGAATGTCAGTGTGGTCTCGGTGATGATGTTGTTGTTGACAGTCGATGATGGTGATGAAGGAAGTGGCGGAGACGGAGGGATTATGATGCGAGCTGAGGGAGTATTCGAGGATGAACAGAGGATGATGATGAGCGGTTGATGTTGTGAAGTCCGGAGGGGTTTATGGTGGTTGAACGGAAAATGATGGATGGTGAAGGTGGATGGAGAAACAGAGAGAGTAACAGGAGGTGATGGATGGTGAGGTGAAGGGACGACGAGCTGTACCGGTTTGAGGATGACGATGAAGTGAAAACGAAGAAGGTTGGATAGATGGTGAGCGAAGTATGAGAGCAGCGGCGCAGAGAGTTATGTGGTGAAGGGTGAAGAAGGGATTTTAGATGGATTAGAAGAGGCAATTTCTTTTTTCTTCCTTGAGCGTAGCTTCTCCTCTTCTCTTGTATTATACCATACAAAACCTTATCCTAATTAGGTTTAAAAGAAAGACATATTTTGAGATATTTTCTATATTATTAAAAATCATAAAATAAATTATATTATTTCATAATTGGATAATTAGAACCAATAGTCACTGTCTGATCATAGTCTCCATCTGAGCATGAGTAACCATCTGAACATAGTCACCATCTGTACCTGTGATAAAAATTCCCTCCCCGCTCACGGGTGAAGACTAGGTCAGGGTAAGGCAAGGGTAACTCGCAATCACAGGTCCGCCTGAAAATGCTATCGCCTTACCCACAGACGTGGGTGCCGATAGTAATTCATTTGAACCTCATCCGAGCGTGGTATGTGATATGACTGCACTAATTGGACCATGTCCTATAGCCATCATGCCCACACTCTATTCCTAGTGTCCTAGTGCACTCTGGCCTGGGTACTGGGCCTTTTACCTCAATAGTAACATCCCCACCCAATCAAGAAGCAGATCTAGTACAGCAGTAGTATATGGAAAACAGTAAAATGCAATGCATACATATGCTTAAGTATATACAAAATGAGTGAATAAACTGAAAGCATAAAAATAAACACCCAAAGAAAATAAAGCAGGAGGTAGGAGCGACTCCGGGATGGACTATCATTTGGTTGACCTGTCCCCAGTGAAGTCGCCAGCTGAAACAACCGGCTGAAAATCATCAAACAATGAAGTCGCCATCGAACGTCTTTTATCCCATATGGAGGGAAAGGTAAACATCGAGAAAACCTGAGAAGGGAGAAGTCACAGTCTTGCGACCGAGAGATAAGGGTAAGGGAGTCTCTTACGCGAGGGAAAGGTATTAACACCCCACAAGCCCGTGGTACTCTACGGTATCCACTCTTGTTATCTATCTTATGGGTGTGTTTAATCTATGCTTACTGTTTACTATACTACTGAAGGGAGAATGCATGCAAAAGAAATGAGAAAAGAATGTAGGAAAAATAAAAGTTGTGCTCGTTCGGCCCCTACCCCGATGCCTACGTATCCCTTTTAAGGAATTAGAGCAGCCGTAGTTCGGCTCTCATGTTTTTGTTGGTTTGCAATTTTTAATGAACAATATTAATTTTGACTTCTGCCACAACTCGACCTTTGGAGACTTACGCATCAGCATAGAAGTGAATTAACATGCTCTTTTGAAAAAGTTTTGGAGAAAAGGGTTCTTGGGCGCACAAAAAGGTTTGAATTGGTTTATGTTTTTTTAATGAACAATATTAATTTCGACTTCTGCCGCAACTCGACCTTTGGAGACTTACACGTCAGCACAGAAGTGAACTAACATGCTCTTTTGAAAAGAGTTTGAAAGAAAAGCTCAAAGGCAAAAAGAGTTTGTATTTGTTGGTATTTTTGTTTGTGGATAATAGCTAGTTAATCGCAAGAGAGAGAGATATTAGCCATTTCTCTACTTATTTATGAAATGAGTCTTTGAGACTTGAACCACACCAAAGATTATAATAGGAGAACAATAAGACCGAGAAGAAACCCGCTTATCATCTCTCATACTTAACGAAGATATGATTCTTATCAATAATCTTTAAGTGTTTTGAAGTTTGCAAGAAAAAGAAGTTTTTGTTTTAATGTATATGCAAAAAAAAAAAAGTCAATGGGAGACTAGCCTATTTCTAAACCTAATATTATCATACAATGGTAGCCCTAAGTTCAGGAAGAATGGAAGGGAAATATATACCTAACGTTAGCATGCATGGTTTACAACCTAAGGTCTAACTTGCGTCCAAATGGAGCAAGCGCATCCTAAGGGAACATGGTATGCACAAGGATAAAGCGAGAAAGTTTATAAGCTCAAGAGAGCACACCTAGAGAGATCCTTTCTAAACTAGCATGCCAAAGAAAGTCTAACAAAACTATCCTATAAGGAACATGAAATGAGAGCGAAGTCGTGATATAAATTTCTAAATTGAGTGACTCATCGATCAATAAGAAAGAAAAGAAATCGATAAAATCCTATAGGGAGCATGCACTGAGAGAAAAGTCGTGATCTCAATTTCTAAATTGAGTGACTCATCGATCAACAAGAAAGTAAACAGACACAAGCACAACACATATAGCAAATGAAGTGCGGAATGCCTGCTACAGGTCTTTAAACAGCGACTTCGAGCGCACGCTCTTTATTTCCTACTTCTCATGGTATCTAGAAAAGCGGTAAAGTGTGGAAATGAGGAATAAAATGAGGTTGTGATGATACCAAATGGAGAAGGTCCGTTGCCTCTTCAAAGTTGTGCAAGCAACAAGAAAACTCTACTAAAAAGCTTCTTCGCACAAGTGATCAAACGAATTAATCTCCAAGTGTTCCACATCGCAAAAGTTGCATCAGTACTATCACAAACTCCTGGCTAAAGATGGCAACAAAAATGATTATCAAACATGAAAACAATAGAAAACTCTTAATGTAAATTCTAAGAAGAAATCCTAAAGAATTCTAAAATTTTCTAATTTTTTGTATCATTTTTATTACCAATTAAGAGGAAAAAGAATTTAACTAAAAGAAAAAAAACTAAAATCGTAATGAGATTAGAAAAGTCAGGGGGTATTGAGTTGCAATCAGGGGGTATCATGTAGCAATGGCACAGAGGCCCATGTGGAGAGAGGTCTGTAAAGCCTTTTTGATATCCAACTAATGCATTAACTCCTACAAAATGTAGCATTGGGCTACAAGGAACTCACTACAAGAGGCCCAATTGATGGATACAAATCAGTCTAACCACCTAAGCCCAATAGATTACTTCCGATTAGCATGCAATTTGTATTGAATTAAACAAAATAAACAAAAACTAAGCAACACTATAAAGAGAGTGGAACGGAAGCGTATGAAGAGGGATTAGGGTTCCAAATTGTGACCCTTGAGTTCCACTAAGAACACGACAATGCATTCTTCTCTTACTGGCGGCGCGGCTCCGAACTTCTTCTCCATTTTTCTGGCAATTCTGCATTCTCGGCTTCACTTATTTCTGGTCAATTATGTCATCTCATCTCTTCAATTCAGGTTGAAAATCCAGTGTTTCTTCAATTCAGGTATGATTTCGTCTATATTCTCGAATACTCCGCATTTCTTCCTTTTCTCACTTTTTGTTTGTGTTTCTGAATCGACCTTTCTCTTTGTTTTGTTGGATTCCTTGTGCGGTTCCGCAACGATGCTGCGAGTAATGAAGGTTCTCAGATTGTTGAAACGGGAGAAAGTTGCAGAAGGTTGAAAAGATTAGGAGAATGGAGAATTCAAGGCGATGAGGTTGTGATGATGCTGCTGCTCTGTGTGCAGTGGAGAGAGTACAATGACTACATTTCAGAAACTGGTAAGGGAGTATAGCCTCATGAGAAATTTGTAGAGAGAATTTTTAGATATTTTTTTTGGTGATTCTTCTGGAAGTTGAAGAATGGTGAAGATGAAGATCAGGGGAGAAGAGAGAGTTTTTGGCCTTTTTTCTGTGTGATTCTTATGCAAAAACTGAAGAATGAAAATGAAGATGATGCAACGCAGAGAAGTGATGAAGACTTAAAAGCTTGGATGCAGATTTGGCTCAGAGGGAGAGTAGAGAGATTTTATGTGGAGTTTTGGAAGACGAAGATGAAGAAGAAAAAGAGAGAGAGCATTTTTTGAGTTTTTGGTGGATGAAGATGAGACATCTTCTTCTGTGGACTTTCTGAACGAAAATCCCCCCAACCAAGGTGAGTTTCCTCTATCTTATATTGTAGAGCTGTTAGAAGTTATTTAGGAATTTGTTGGAGTTAGTTAGAGAGTTAGTTAGGAATTTGTTAGAGAAGAGGTTAGGGAATTGAGTTCTGTTAGAAATTGTTAGGAGATTTTGAATTAGTTATCAATTAGTTTATAATTTTGTTTGGATTCTGTTTTTTTTTGGGAATTCTACAGGTTTTCTTTTCTGTCATTCTATTAGGAAGTTAGTTAGCATTCTCTATTAGTGCAAGTAACTAAAAAACGTTAGCTTAGAAAACAAAGCTGTTAGTTAAAACTATTTAGAAAATTCTGTCATGCTGTTAGGAAAAGTTAATTACATTTTTTTTGAAGTTCTGTTTGACGGTTAGAAAATCAGTTGGAAGTTAGTTACTAATTGTTTAAAGTTTGGTTAAAGAATTTTTGTTTGTCAACTGTTAGTTAGAAACGGTTAGCCGGTTAGAAGCTAGTTGCAGTTTGTTATATACCGTGACATTTTGTTGTGAATGTTAACGGAAGTTGGTAGAAAGAGCTGGCCTTGATTTAATTTGAGTAAAACTGATTGACTGGTTTAATGCTGAGAGGAACAGTTTTCTTTGTGTGAAATGATCTTGAAGCATTACTCTAACTTTCTGTTTTGGTTTGAAAACATTCTTGCAGGTTGTAGGTTTGTCTGGTTTTGTTTTGGTACGTGCAGACTAGCTCACATTTTGGACATGAAGCATGGTTTGTATCAAGTCAAGAAAAATGGAGAGGATAACATGAAAGGTTTGGATGTAGTGTGAGGAATTTAGGCATGGTTCAAACATGTCATGAAGTCCATGGTAAAAGATGAAGATGGAAGATTAATCTTAGGATACATTTTCTTGTAACTGATTAAATGCCTTTATTTGTAAAAGTTTCTTTGGACATTTGTAACTTTTTTGTAATCTTGAAATGGCATGTTCTGTAACATAATGAATCGTGAATGAAAGACGCTTGAATGATTGAACTTGAGTAATTTGAATAATTTGAATGACCATGGATGGGAATAGTTCCGACTTGTAATAAAATTTTGATTCATTTTGTAAATTTGTAACATTTCTTCCTTGTAGCCGGTAGTAATTGTGTGACTTGTATCTTTAGAACTTATACCGCACCTTCTTGTGGTTTGTAGAAAATTTAAGCCTTTTGTGTCTTTTGAGAATTATGTAGTCAAAGCAGAAGCTTGAATGAGATGTAACTAGTAGAACTTGAATACGCTGAAACTCGCTACAATTCAAAATTCCATGTCTATTATTTATGAGTTTTTGCAAGATGGATCCTCTTGAATTATGCCATTTACAAACATTCTTTAAGCTTATTAGCTTTTGGTAAATGGAGGCCTTGATCACACTTTGGTCAAATTTAGGAATTTTACCCATCCGATCTCAAATTTAATCCATGATACTCCATGATGAGTGTCTTATATGTTTCACAATAACTTGAACCAAAATTTCCCTTGTATGCCATGTTCCTATAAGAACTTGGGTTCAAACAAACTTGCACACCATGCTTTGGATCTTAAAACTCAAATTTAGATGTTTGAACTTCCAATTCTAAACACCTTGCACCTCAAACCCGCATGAATGGAGACCCTTGAATTTTAACCTTAAATGATGACGGATATTTGTAAAAAATGATGATGATTTGTACTTGGAATTTGAAACTTTGATGATTGAGATGTCTTTTGTAACTTCAGTGTAATGGCTTGAATTTGTAATGAACAAAACTTTGTAAATTATTGCATGACAAATTTCCAATTATTCAAAACACTCGAATAAACACTTGAATGTTATTAAATGAATCTTTTTATCTTTTACCTTGGGATGAACAATGATGTGGAATAATCTTGAAAATAACAACTTTAATCATGAAGAGATTTACTTGATTCCATGTACTTTAATCTCAACTTATGTTCATGTGCCATCTTCCTCCGCAAGAACTCATGAACTAAACCTTCGGGCACGCTATTTTTTTAATCAAGTTGAACCTTAATCCATGTTTGAAACCAAAGTTCTTGAACAAATATACAAATAATAGCTTGTACCAATTATTCATAATGCCTTGACCGTCAAGCAACCAAACTTATCATACAAAATATCTTGAATCATGATGTACACAACCCTAATTGATTGACTTATGGATAGATGAACTCAATGCAACAATGACATAGTCAACAACCTGTAATGCAAGCATCACATGCGTCTTGGATTGATAACAAATCTTGATCCTTTAGAGAAATCTTAATACACCTCTAGTATTGACAAAACCTTGACCAAATGATAAGCACAAAATAGAATGAGGTGTCTTGAATCAAAGACCATGTACGCGAGATCACAACCTTAAGTTATTGACAAGAATACCCTGCAACCTATTGTTCAGCAGAAGATAATAGTCGTGTAGCTTGATGGAGAAGAAATTCAAATTGAACATTGAAACAAAACCCTAATTCCACAGTCTTCCATACCAAGAAGAAACAAAATGATCCGTCTTATTCAACATATACGACTCAAATCAGTTGTGAACCCTAGCTCCATAACTACTGATTTTTTGAACCTCAGGTGCTCTATTTTTTAATGAAAATGCATGCTATGCACATGACCTATTGGAATGATGCAGATGAATGCAAAGTCTTAGCCAGAATAAAAGTGCAATTAGGAGGGCAAATTTTGGGGTGCAACAGCTGCCCCTATTTAATCGCCTTCAACCTAAAGGTGAGCTTGGCGTCAGCCTTTCGAACTTTCAAGGTGGAAGAAGATTAAATACTAAAAGAACCCGAAGATTTGCGCTCTGAAGCCAGTCAGGTATTATTATATTGTTAGTTTTCTGTATCTTCTATTTTACTTTTTGCTTTTTGGGTTAAAAGGGTTATCAGGGATAAATGTATGTTAGACCAGGGTTAGACACACAGAAAAAAAAAGATATCAAAAGATATATGCCCGAATCAGTAGCAGACATACGAAAAAAGGCATCGAAGATACATATCTGGGGTCGGTAGTGGATACGTACGAAAGAGACAGACCGAAGAAAGCTCTTACAAAGATATCAAGAACACATGTCTGGGGTTGGTAGAAGACATACGAAAAAGGTATCAAATATACATATCTGGGGTCGGTAGCGGATACATACGAAAGAGACAGGCCGAAGAAAGCTCTTACAAAGATATCAAGAACACATGTCTGGGGTTGGTAGCAGACATACAAAAAAGGTATCAAAAATTCATATCCGGGGTTGGTAGGGGATACGTACGAAAGAGATAGACCGAAGAAAGCTCTTACAAAGATATCAAGAACACATGTCTGGGGTTGGTAGCAGACATACGAAAAAGGTATCAAAAATACATATCCGGGGTCTGTAGCGGATACGTACGAAAGAGGCATCAAAGATACATATCCGGGGCCGGTAGCGGATACATACGACAGAGATATCAAAGATACATATCCAGGGTCGATATCATATACGTACGAAAGAGATATCAAAGATACATATCTGGGGTCGGTAGCGAATACGTACGAAAGAGATATCAAAGATACATATCCGGGGTCGGTAGCGGATATGTACGAAAGAGATATCAAAGATACATATCCGGGGTCGGTAGCGGATACGTACGAAATAGATATCAAAGATACATATCCGGGGTCGGTAGCAGATACATAATAAGGAAAGAGGCTGGAGGAAAGGACTCTAACCAAGGATATCAAGAAAAATATGTCTGGAAGAAAGGACATATATAAGGAAAGAGACCGGAGGAAAGGACTCTAACCAAGAATATCAGGAATATACGTCCGGAGGAAAGGGCGTATAACCAAGGATATCAAGAAAATATGTCCGGAGGAAAGGACATATAATAAGGAAAGAGGCCGAAGGAAAGGACTCTAACCAAGAATATCAGGAATATACGCCCGGAGGAAAGGGTGTATAACCAAGGATATAAAGAATACATGTCTGGGGTCGGTAGAAGACACATAATAAGGAAAGAGGCCGGAGGAAATGACTCTAACCAAGAATATCAAGAATATACATCCTAAGGAAAGGGCGTATAACCAAGGATATCAAGAATACATGTCTGGGATTGGTAGCAGACGCATAATAAGGAAAGAGGCCGGAGGAAAGGACTCTAACCAAGAATATCAGGAATATACGTCTGGAGGAAAGGGCGTATAACCAAGGATGTCAAGAAAATATGTCCGGAGGAAAGGACATATAATAAGGAAAGAGGCTAGAGGAAAGGACTCTAACCAAGAATATCAGGAATATACGTCCAGAGGAAAGGGCGTATAACCAAGGATATCAAGAATACATGTTTGGGGTCGCTAGCAGACACATAATAAGGAAAGAGGTCGGTAGAAAGGACTCTAACTAAGGATATCAGGAATATACGTCTGGATGAAAGGGCGTATAACCAAGAATATCGGGAATATACGTCCGGAGGAAAGGGCGTATAACCAAGGATATCAGGAATATACGTCCGGAGGAAAGAGCGTATAATCAAGGATATCAAGGGCAAGAGAAAATCACGACTTCTTAAGACAATGGTGTAATACCCCAAATTTGTCCTACCCCTTTTGCTTTTATCTGGATTGCGCATCTCTCACTTTTCTCATGTACATAACTCCATTAGGTCATCTAACACATCATTCATTCATTAACCAATAAAATGTGGCATGTGATCAAAGGTTTCTAAGAATTAGGGTTTCTTTAAGGCTCTGAGGCTCTTATCTTCATCCAAGAGATTCAAGCTGCTTCTTCAACAAGCAGGGAAATATGCTAGGGTTTTAACTTGTTCTAGGAAGGATGCTAGGGTTTTTAACTTGTTATGCTTCATCAAGAATTCAATTGTAAGCTAAGGTTTTGGTTCCCTCAATCATCTCGAGCTACCTTGATTATCAGATTTTATCAAAAGAAAATGAACTAGGGTTTGTTACTCGTCATATTTGAGCTTGTTGATGTTCAACAAATGAGATTCATTAAGTCTCATGTCAAGGTATCCTACTGTGCTTCAAGTCCTGCCTTTATCAAAGGATTCAAGGCATTGACTATCTTGTTACTCATCAAGTCAAGATATAGTGGAATTGGATTGCGAAATGCAAGCCATGGTGCAAGAGATGAGTTTGCGGATTCATTTTAATAAAGGCATCATTATTCTTTCGCATATTTTTTGCTTGTCATGAAAGTTTGCTTAAGATTGGAAAATCGAATTGAATATAGGGCTTCATTGAGAATGGAAAATTAATTTGAGATATTCATTCAAGTTCAGGATGTGGATCATAATCAAGGCATCATTCTCTCAAATTGTTTGTTACTTGTTAGGCAAGCCAATTTGGATTAAGGTTGAAGCGAATGATTCCATAAATTCAAATTTGGTTCAATTCATCAAAGTTGTTGGGAATTCGCAAGGTTGGAAAGGGAATGCATTCGGACTTCTTGAGATTTAAGTAGTGAAGTACAAGTGCAAGGCGTTCATTCATCATAATTGTCTTCACCTTATTCATCATGTTCAATACTTATTCATTTCATTATAAAAGATATTCAACTTCATTCAAGTCCATGATCAATATGAATATTCATTTAAGTTGAAAAGGTTAAGAAGCATCCATATAAATTTAAATCCATTCGGAGTCTTTACAAAGTTCATTCACGTAAAGTTCTATGCATTTCAAATTTGGTCACAAGACATTACAAACGCCAAATTTATTTATACTTGTAACCATGAAAAATTCATATTACATTCTAAAGAAACAACTACACAAAATTCCTAAGGTCC